CCACAAATAAAATGATACAGTAGAATTTTCAAGTAAAAAGTAAAAATACACTTAGCTACCGTCATGGAGGATAGTAATTATAACACGTATTTTATTTTGATTTCGGAGAAAAAAAACACTTGTTACACAATTTGAAGTAAACAATATTTCCGATATAATGAAGTAACTATTAATTTTTCAAAACAGTGCATAACAAAAAGTTAAGCCGTTAAAAAAAGGATTTTGTTCTTTAATTGTAAAATAATTATTAAATATACTGTTCAACATGTATACGACATAATATCTGATATTTCATACAAAATAGATTCCTATTTCGTTTCATTATATAATTATTCGCTTAAACCGCACAGTAGAYGCAGTAGGTGCTAGCCGATGTGCAGCGTTTACTTGTTTTTATTTATTTTTGCATTTTTATTCAAAAACAGTTCGAGTCGGTCATTGAAGAAAGTAGTCGAGGTGTAGTGCATCACATGGAAGTGTTCCATTGCGAATCAAGTGCTGGCAGTCGAATACCACTGTACAGTGGTCCTTGTTTTTCAAATAAAAGGCCGTACAAGACACAGGTGTGCAAAAAAGTGATGGCCGCCTGGGCAATGGGAGCTGCTCCTTTCGTGTACCCCGAGGTAATGAGACTAAACCAAAAATAAAAAAATATGTCACTTGTTTAGACCGCGTACACTCGACCCGTTTCAAAAACGATTTATATATGATATTGAATATCGATGGTATTTATTATTATAATAATAATATTCTCWACATGTATTTTCCCGTGACAGGAAGCCGGTTTACCCATTGGAGGTCCCGATTTCAATAGCTACATCATGTTGGAGGTGCATTACAACAATCCCGGGTTAAGAAAAGGCAACGTTTCTCATTCTGTTTCTATTTTTTCTTTACCGATCACCACTCCAAGAGTACAGGTTTTATTATAAACTACTGCTGTAATTTTGTAGGTATGGTGGACAGTTCCGGTGTACGATTGTACATAACGCCGGAAGTGAGAAAATACGACGCCGGAGTGATCGAACTGGGCTTAGAGTACACAGACAAAATGGCTATACCACCGAAATTGGATGATTTCACGTTGAGCGGCTATTGTATTGCTGAATGCACCGCAGTGGTAATAATGATATTATACCTTTAAAATATGAATCATTGTGAAATTAAATTAAAGATTTTAAGTAATCCCTTAAAGACTTAAAGTAAATAATTACCATTGCAATTACAAAAACAACTATAGATGATATTTAATTAGTTTAAAGGTTTCGAAATAACAGTTTTAAATTTTTTTAAATGTTTACAGTTTTTTTTTAATTAAAATACATTTTTTAAAATTTAAATGGATAATGGTCAATGGATGATTTTTCTCTCAGATTACCTTAAAATATAAAAATTAATTTTACATATACTACGTGCTTTCAAAATTATGGCGACCAGTATAATTTCTATTACTTTTGTCGTATACGATTCAGAAAACTCGTATAATACGTAATATATATTATATTATGTCAAAAATAAGTGGGTAACAATAGTTATATTATTTCACATATTATGTGTGTTAAGGATCGATTAAATGTTATGTTTCTATGTTAAATCGTCTAAAATGCAAGTAAATATTTAACCAATAATATACAAAATCGCACAATGAAATGAGTAGAAAAAAAATCAACTTTAAAATTTAAAACTTCTGAGTTTCCTAATAATGACTATTATTTTTTTTGATCAAACGTTTAAAATTATTTTTATTTATTTAGCGCCATCTAGTTGTTAAATATTGTAAATTGAAGGGGGCTTTCAGTATTATAGCATTAACATGGTTTACTATTAATAATTTACGAGTATCTATAGACTCAAAAGATTCCACCTAAACATGTACAACAAACAGTATTTATTTCAGTAAAAAGCATGAGTAAACTGTCTGGGTCATCAATTCATCATAGAGGAAACAATTTATGCTTTATCAATTTTATTCGATTTAAAAATTAACGTGTGTAATRTATAATATAATATTATAAACTATTATAGTTCCATAATATAATAATAATAATAATAATAGTATGGATACAAACAAAGCAATACACTTATACTGTTTAGGGACAAATTTTATGTAACTTCTAAAAAAATAATTTTCAAAACGTAATGAAAAATATTTTTTCTCTAATAGAATTAAATGATATTTTAGTTTGAAATTGAACCGCTAGATGTCGTTCGTATATTATTTATTAGTATTTATAATATTATAATAAACAGATGAACCAGATTCTATGAGATTGTACTTTCTCATTGTAGCCAAGAAAATACGCCGCTTGGCCGCTTTATAGTAATATTATAAATTTAAAACTTTTACTCGAAGCTTTTTGTCGATTTGCAATCAAATAACGCTACGATAATGCCATATTTCGATSGTCGAAAAAAATCTCTGAGATCAAAATCATTTTGAATTTTCAGAGTATCCCATCGTCTGGGATCGAGATCTTTGGTTCACAATTGCATACTCACCTCACTGGCACTATGATCTACACGAAACACGTGCGGGACGGTCAGGAACTACCGGAACTCAACAGGGACAATCACTACAGCACGCATTTCCAGGAAATTCGTCTACTTCATAAACCAGTGCGAGTGCTCCCTGTAAGTCACGATGTTCATAATGAGGGTATACATTTAATATAAAATTAATACACAAATAATAATATTATGTACCATAGTAGCTAAATTTATCWATATTATACTCATAAATCATATTATMTGGTAAGCTACTGAGATTATGTCAATAASAACAGTTTTAAAAGCAAGTRTAGAAAAYGTCTATATWACCATCTCCAATACTTTTCAAAATATTTTAATCCTTTTTAAGTTATTTATAGATATTTTTAATTTTCGATGCTTTAAGTTTTTTTTTTTTATAAATATCAATACTATTTCTTCGTTTAGTAAAAACTTAAAAAATGTAGTACAATGCTCCTAATATATTGTTGCAATAGCAGTTAAAAAAATATTGAAACCACATAATCAAACATTTTATCTATAAGCATTTAAAGTACGAATTTTGACTAAGTATRTGGAGATCACGAAAATGTGCAAATTATTTTGAATTTGAAAATTCTCAAAAATTTATCTTTCCAAATCTAAGATTTGAAAATTTAATACAAAATTCTTCATATGTTTGTCTAGTTTTCTTAAGTTTAGAATGTCTACTGGAAAATCAAATTAAATTTTTATAAACGTTTGAATTTAAAATTTTTACAACATCGGATATTCACTCGATTTCTCTTGTACCAATAATCTTATTTTATTGTTATTCAAAAACGAATGACTGTAAAACTTTAAATTTACAACATATGTTTATGTTATCAATTCCTACACTTGATAAAATTTTCAAAACATTTCGAAAATTTTTAAATTATTTATGGACATTTGAAATTATTCGTTTTTTAGTTTTTTATTTCATAAACGTCAATAAAATTTTATTTATTGGGTTAAAAAGCTTGAAAATTGAATACAAGGTTTCCATACGTTTATATAATAACATTTGGAAAATATTTTAAAAATACATAGGCAAGTTTTTTTTATAACCGTTTAAAGTTAAAATTTTGGCAAAATGTATTAAATTAAAAATTTACAAACTATTTAGTTGTTATAAATTGATAAAAAGTTCAACTTTCATAGCTAAGGATTGAAAATTTAAAACAAGATTTCTCATAAGTAGTTAATTTGGTAACAAAAAAAAAAAAACTAACAACCATACTAATACAGTATTTTTAATAATTATTTTAAGTCCAAATTTGAACAAAATTACATGTTAAATAATCAAAAATAACAATTTTAGCTATATTTTTGCAATTTAAACATATTATTCATGGGTACTTGGAATGTCTAGAGTAGGTATACTTCATATTCTAATATTGTAATAGTAACGTAATGGGCACTTCTATATATACATATATATATATTGAATATTATTATTCATATATTATTAGGTGGGTATATTGTATTTTACTATTGCAGCTAGTAGCTACCTAAACCATTGTCTATCTTTAAATCGTTTTACATGTTAGGAATCTATTATATATTAATAATAATTAATAATGATGATTATATATTGTGATTGTGTTGTGTATCGTTACCGTGGTGTATAGCTGCGCAGTCGTCTGTCGTCGGCGCCGCGAGAAGAAAACACAATGACGGTCTCTCCCAGATAGGAATTTCGGCGGCTGCCGCAATAAATRTGCAATGCCCTGCATAATACATAGATTATTTATATTATCTATGGTATATATAGTACCATCCAATGAGCTAAAAAATATATTACAACAGTGTGATAAATAATGAAAAATTAAAACAAAAAAAATTATGAATGTATATATAAGATGAAGCGCCCAGTGCAAACACCCTCGGGTCTCGTCGGTGTGCGATCCAATCAACCGACGCGCGACGACAGAACGGGGTAATAATACATAATTATATCACGATACACACGTATAGATACGTAATCTACTTGTTGAATTTTTTCCGTTTTAATTAATTATTAACAATGCCTTGGCGATCATTAAACCGAAATCAATCGGTCGTCGGCAGGTTATCCTAGGATCGCTCATACACACACTGCAGCAGCATACCTATATACAAAACTCTACGTAGTAGGTATGTGTTATTATGTATTATACTATTATAATATATATAAATTTATATGTATTATATGTTTATAGATTATAGGTACAATGTAATTTGGAATTTGCAGCTCTATTATGATATCGATATGTTATAATAGATACATATCATACTTATAATATATATATTATACTTATAATATATATATATATATTATATATAACTATAAGTGGTAGTATTATAAAATACGTTTTAGAATAATAAAAAATTTCAAAATCAGAATCTGATAAAATTAATTATTAAAAGAAAAGAAACGGTGTAACTGGTACCTAAGCATGTTAAGTGAATCATTCTATATGTGTACAATATAATTATTAGGAAAGGGCCGGCACACCCGAAGTTTGACTATATGGGAACTGGGAAGGGAGATTAAAATTGTTGTATACAACTCTTGATACGGTCATAAATCAATTTCTTGAAAGTTTTTCAACAATTATTTATCATCATTGTATACAGTTTGTATTATTTGTCTAGTTGTTGTACTACAATTTTTGGTATGTATTTGTAAAGTTATCTTCTGAGTAAGTATAATATTGTATTTTCTAGATATATTAAATTGACCCGGTTAATATAATAATATTATAATACCATCGCTAATGTAAATGTTTTACGAAACAAACTTTTCATGATTACCCACTTTAACGAGCTATGAGAATTAGGACGATAGATAATAAATAATAATAAAAAAACAATATTCCTAATGGTGTTTGAAACATGAAATATCATCAAATAGTTAATTGAGTTCATGCAGGTATATGATTAAATGTAAAGTGTAACGACGGTTGGTTTAATGACCGATGTAAAATATCGTGGTAAAATGGTAAAGAATGRATATACCTATAATCTATAGCCTATGGCTATCTACTACAAGTTGAAATCTAAAATTTGAACACCTAACCAAAAGTGTTCTACCTACTAAGTATAATTTATAATTAGTTGACTTATTGACCATCGCAAAGTATTATAGCACTAAAATATCGTTCAATATGACTATATTACTTTATAATGATTAATGTGTATCGAATAAAACCTGTTATATATGATAATTTATTGTTGTTTTTAATTTATTTGTAATATGAGATGCGTATAGGTACAGTAGTCCAGTAATTTATCAGTTGGTAATTAAATATATTTTATTTTTAGGGTTTGTTAAAAGTAATTTAAGTAATAACTAAAATATTATGCTGGTCATTTTTCCAATTTGAAAATGATTAATCATCTACAATTTGAATCGTCAATGTAGGTAATCTGGTAATCTATATTTAGGTATTGAATTGTGATTGTTTATTCGATATTATTATTAATTAATAGCATTAACTATGCTTATAAAATACTAATATATTTAAGAATATGTTTAAGTTAAACGTTATATTAATAATTATCTACTTTAAAATCGAGGTTTGTATACGAAAACAGATTTATGAGCGCATTAGTGCAATACATATTTAAGAAGTATATGTACCTAACCTAATATGTATAAACTTTGATTCAAGTTTAATATTAAATATATTAAATTATTTTTGATGTACAGGGAGATGCATTAATAACTACGTGTCATTACAACACTGAGGACAGACAAAATATTACACTCGGTGGATTCAGCATTACCGACGAAATGTGCGTCAACTACGTGTATTACTATCCAAAGATAGAGTTAGAAGTGTGCAAGAGTTCAATAAGTGACCAGAATCTCAAAAGCTATTTCAAATTTTTAAACGAGTGAGTATTCAATAATCATATTATCATTCTCATTAATAATAAACATTAGACTGAATAATACATTTTAACAGAACCTATTTTGAGTAAATTAAATGTAGTATATAATGAACTATGACGTACTTATACTTCGTATAGTATTACATAATTACTACCTAGCTGTGTTATTGGTTGCTATATACGAACGTCTCCGTTACATGTCGTGTTTCACATGKTATTCAGACAAACCACATAACTGTTTGTCTTATATTTTAATATTTTATAATGTAATAATGACAATCTAGATGACATAAATGCGAATAAAACATTAATGTAAAGTTAATGACAGTCTTGTGTCAGTATAGGAATGAACATATAGTAACCATGCAACCGTGGACACTTGTGAAGATTATACTTGGAATATACCAATACGATTTTTTAATACAATATTATAGACATTTCACGAGTAGGTCGATTTTTTATAAATTCCATCAAACCGTAAATATTAAATTCACTTCGTATAAGTTGTTCAATAATTGGAAAGTCAATGATATCGTATTTCTAGACATTTTTTCTGTAATTGAGTGCGGTTTTATCGTGTGAATCAATAACATAAAAAAAGTATACTTACCTACGTATATAGGTACACATTCCTATATGGTAAATAATAATGATATACACATTTTGAAATTCAACTTATTTATTAAATGTAAAAAATGTATAAAATCATAATTTTCCCGCTAGACATGAGCTATAGGTATACTTCGATTCACCTAATCGCTTTTCAATATTGYAMTAGTATACAATAACAGTGTGTTGGGTAGATTTCTAACTTTCCATGCGGTTTTGAATATTGTACCTATCGTAAACATAATTTGACGTATTATTATATTTTAATCATTGTAGATGCACTGCTGTTATACATATTGTAAACATCTATTCCATTATACTTTATTATTGAATATTGTGATGTGTAAGTATCTATCGCGTGCAATATACATAATTATATATTGCACGACTTTAATGTTATGTATTATGAATAAAAGTTCCCACTGTTTTGAAAAATATAAAGTTGTATTTTAAGCGATTTTTAGTTATAGGTACAAATTTGACTCATGGTTAAATTTACTGTGCCAAAATACTATTCTTAATCTCCGTTTAAATTTACCAATTTGCCGTTAAGATATCTACTTCTAATTTTTAAATTTTCTGGTTCTATAAAAATTCAATTATTGAATTTTTACTCTGCTTTAGAACCGAATGTTATTAATGGTAGGTAGGTATAGGAAACTAAATTAAAAATTTCAATTTTTTATTCATTACCTTTCCAAAATGAAATAAAATACGGTTTAATAAGTAATTATTATAGTTTATACCATCAAATTATGTTTAATTTGTTTTATTTTGATGATTCCTATGTATTTTACATTATACATTTCATTATTTTCTTCGTGAAATTGGGCAGTGTTCTTTAATCATATTCGTAATTTATATTTACTATATGAATTATGCATTTACTAACCTAATCAAAAATTACCAAGACGTGTGTAGTCATTGAGTGTATAATAATATATTGTACATTATATGATACTCAATGATAATGTTTGTAATTTACATCCGTACACCCTTTGTGACGTGTTCATATCTGATAAAAAAAAATTGTTAAAACAAAAAYCATAATATATACAATAAAATATTTATTTAACACAACAATTAGGTTTATTGTATAACGTGCTCGCAGGTGGGAGAGACAGCRGACGTCGCCAGAGCAGCCGGTGAGCGTCAACTACAACGGCGCCGAGTGGACGCCGATGCGGAGTCGAGTGCTGCACCAGGTGTACGAACAGAGCACGCTGTCCATGCAGTGCAACAGGAGCACAGGCGAAAGGTTTCCGGGCGACTGGGAGAACAGGCCGTCCACCAAAGTGTTGTACACGTTGCCGCCGCCGGCCAGGAGCTGCAGCGTGAGGACTGCGCCGTCCTCATAATAAAATATTGATGTCTCGTATCACATTTTAATATTATAACAATTATTACATATTATAACTATATAAGTATAGGTACTCGAAAAAAAACAACCCTCCCTGCAGGCAGCACACCCTCCTCGTCGACGGCTCTTGCACCACTTCAAACGATTAGTGAGCAGCCCTTCCTGCAACGCGATCCGTATTTAAGTGGCTACGAACCGAATAATTTTTTTTACACTTCGTAATGTTCAATAGTCAGTATGTATCTACATAATAATATAGTATATAGGTACGTGAAAGAAACATAAAAAGTATTTCGTCGCTTCCGATTGTATAATAATTTAAAACACGCATAGATGCATACTCGTATTATTTTCATTAGAAAATAATATTATACTGATATAGACCTCAACAGACAGCGAAACGTTAGGTTTATTTATGAAAATGAATCGTAACATAAAAAATAAAAAACGAAGACTTATAATAACCTCACGAAAACATTTTTCGTTTCGAAATCCCGTATACCTACCTATCGTCAATGAACATATTTAATAACAATTACACTATCTCCATCGTTATCATAAATGTATCACCTTGTATGGTATAGGTATTATATAACTCCACACGTTTATTGAATTTATCCTTATTATTATATTATATTACAATTTATATCATTATATTCTACAATTTACTTGCTTTGCCTTATAACGTAGACACCACTAAAATATTATTTCATTGCACATTGATATAAGCGCTTTTCATACTTCATCGCCGTCCTTTTTGTGCTTGACAACGGAATTCTCCGGAATGGTGCGTTTTTTTTTAACTACTCCGACTTTGAGAGTTATCGATATAGCTGTATGCCATATAGGTAATAAAAACGATGTTGTCGAATTTCGATTGTGTTGCTATGCATTTAAAAACCGTAGTGTAGTGTTAAATATGTCTTATAGACTATATAGGATTTGGGTAATAAGCCTTTGCTTCTCTAACTAGTTTTTATGCGTTTTGCCCTTCGTATTTAATAAAAAAAATAACAGTTGAATGYATTATTTCAAGTAACTTAGTTAAACCCAAAGTTTCTGATTACAATAATAATTCATAATATAATACCTTTGCGTATACAAAACGCATAAATAAACAAATACGTGTTTAATAAAATAAAGTGTTAATCAATATTCTAATATTATAAGCAATACAATCGAGAGCATAGCGATTAGTGAAATTCAGTTGCCAGCAGCCTGCCCGGTGATTAACTTGTTCTGGTGCTGAGTATTATAATATATCGATACGTGACAAAAATCATTGTATTACAATTAAGTGTATTGAATGAATAATAGTCAAATATTTATTTTGTTCGATTTACCTATAAAATTTTTGTGAAATGTCGATAAATATTAAATTATTTAAATTTAAAATGCCATTAAACATTGATTTAATATTTTATAGTCTGAGCAAAATTTTATAAATATCATCGAAATTACAAATAAAAAACGAATTAAAAGTTTATTAAATAATTCATCAACAGAATTCTGCACACAAAATATATGGAAACCATATTTTTCAAACATATAATTATTTAATATTGAATAAAATTTAATATGTACTTTCCATCGAAGTCGAGGACCTATATTATATATAGAATAATATAAAGGAATAACAAAATTATAGATTGTTATAGTTATATATTGTATAGTATGAAATATTATTGGAAAAGAAATTATTAAGCTTGTATCGTCCGATAACAAAATATAATAATGGTAATACCTAGAAAAATTGTTTTTACCACATTAATGGTTATTGAAATCAAAAATTAATTACTTATATAGTTTATGATATTGAAATGCTTATACTTTCATATATATATATACATAATAGTAGACAATTGTTATATTTAACATGATCAATATTATAATATGCGATTATAAAATTATGTTTTTCATGAATTTTGTTTTATTAAATGAAAACTATCATATATTTGGTTGAAGATATATATTTTTGTTTTTATAATTTATTAAGGCTTCAACAACACAGGTTTTTAGCCTACTTCAATCAAATATTAAACAAGAAAAAGAATATATGTTTAAATTACAATTTAGTATGAATTTTACAGCATTATTATTATTATTCACAATGGATATTTAATGTTTATATTATAGAAAAATGTACCGATTGCAGCTGTGTTCTCATCTTTGAAGGCTTGGTGGAGAGAAACAGGATTTGAAGTATCTTGCGTGCTTCAGTGTATTTGGGGCAAGTGATAACAATGTGCTCAATCGTTAATGTTGTGTTGCAACTGTTGCAAGTATCACAATATAATGGTGCTGGTTCTTTTTTTATTAGATGTACCAACATGAGTTAAGCAGGAATGACCTATTTTGGCTCAAGTGACGGGAGGGTAGATTAATTTCTTGACGAATAATTTTATATTTCTCAGTTTGTTAGTGAGGGAAAGATTTTCCCAAAAAGTTACCATTCTTCCATTATTTTCCGATGGATTATGCCAAAGATTTCGAATGAGGAAGAAGAGTTGATTTGGATGGATTGTGGAGATGTAATGGCTTCGAGGGCTGGGTTGAAGATATTATTATTATTATACTAAATACATTATTAGCTATGGTGCTTATAGTGACCTAGAAGTGCAAAATATGAAAAAATTTCAATTTTTCAATTAAATATTATTGTTAAAACGTTAAAATGTTTAAAGGTGATGAAATAACATTAACTCCTTTGTAAATATGCAATGCATTAAAACTAACACGTCATCATGAAAAGTTATTAAAAATGTATTAGTGTGATATTAAATCATAGGCGTTTACAATTAGAGGGAAGACGGAGCACTTGTCCCTCTTAGAATTTTAAATTTGTTTTCCAAAGCATTATCTGTAATATACCAATTTGGTAAACATAGATTACTTGTGTATTACTAATGTAAGCATAAAATGTATAAAAAAATCTTCATTTATTTTTTAATTCATTTTGCCCCTCACTAGAAAAATATCTGGAGACGCCCATGTATTAAACTCATACGAAATTTGCTCAAGCTTTAAAAAAGTTAATGATGACGTGGAATACTTAAAATAATTATAGATATTAGGTAATGGGGGGTATGAAAGTATTGTGATTTGGTGGTAAGTATTGTCCAAACAGTTCACCCCAATGTGACGATACCCACAAGAAAAAAGTTATTAGGTAATAGCATTGATTATAAATATTTTAATATCACTGTAATTTATATTATACCTACCTACTTCTTATGTTTACTATTTAAAATCAATGGTAACAAGTATAAAAAATTCTCAAATATTCATCTAATTCATTTCCCGAAGACAAATCATTTCGACAATGTCAATTTTCGCAAGTAATAATAACGTGTAGTGRCATTTTTTTTTTTTTTAATGTCATTATTTGTTAAGTAAAAAGTCGTGTTTACGACGCACTCTGTAACACTGTTTGTGCAGTCCAGGGGAGGATATAACGGGGCATTTGGCCAAAAGCACGTGTCAAGGATTCGTATACAATGTATTAGGTGTGACTTAATCTTTTTACAAAGCTCAAATCTATCCGCAATAAGTTTACCACATCGCGGAGGAAGGGAGAGGAACGAATATATATAGCGCGAAACGTCGCTAAAAATCCCTAGTGACCGACCACATCAGGATTTACCGTGACTTTTGGCGTTGTTTAACTTTCACGACGTGCCATATTTCGGTTGATCCTATAAAGTTTATATCAAGTCGTTTCGGCGTCTTCAAATTCGAACTACAATAAGCAAGTAAGCACCCACACAGGAGAATAAAAATGAAATCACTGCAGCTGCGTATGTATTATTCAATAGTATATACAATTCCGGATATAAGATAAAAACAATCTACAGACATAATATAAAATAGGTGGTCTTAAAAATCGAACGGAGTATTGGGGTACGGGGTTGGGACCTTTTTTGTAAGGATCAATTCCCTTTCCCACAGCCCTTATATTTAGGCTTTATATACGAAACACCCGCCATTCGAATTTCCAAACTTCCAATTCTTTTTTGACTTTTATTTTGATTTTTTTCTTCAATAATTAGTGCTAGAAAACTAAACAACTTAACTATATCAATAATATGTAAATAGTATAGCTATATACTATGGGCACACGTGGCGGTCGTCATACTCGTATATATAATTATAATGAGTTATCGAYAAGTACATAATRTGTATTATGGCTGATTCGRTCACACATTTTAAGCCAAAATTTTATCAATTAAATTATGCTACCTAATTATCGGATGCAACCGGAGCTGTTTTTTTCTATCAAAAAATCTAAGTGGTCAAAAAACAAATAAATATTAATTAGGCATAGCGGGTGGCGCAGTATCTCGTGCAGTATTATGTAATATGTATTATATCATTCGAGATCACAACCTCGTAGGGTGTACACATGGGTAGGCGAATTGGAAAAAGTCACGCGGTCAAATGACTAAAACGTGTTCTGGGTGTAATTTGCCGTTGAATACATCTCGGTATTTTAGCGGCTACCATCATAACAATAATAATATATACTTTTTTTTGGATAAGTACACTACAATGCCTCCGACTTCGAAAAACATATAATAAATTTCAACGTTTTACGCTTAAACCCGTATTATTATTATTATTATTTATTATTATTATTATTATCATAACAGTACTTGCGGGATGCATTCGTACATGTAACTATATGTTATGGACAATATTACTGTAAGCGCATAACTATATATTATATTATATCTCATTCAATACGTTTTGCTGGTTTTTTACCACTACAAATATTTTGGCTGACACGATTTAATTGTATTTATTTTTATTTTTATTTAAATTTTTTCGGGAGGGAGGGAAGGTAGGTAGTGAAAAATATATAATATACAGAAATCAATAAGCTAGCTACCCTTCTAAAAAGCGTTTTCTCCATATTTATATAAAATTAACAATTAAAATCCATTCGTAATACGCAATGTATATAATTTAATTTATAATTTAATTTAAAAATATCTAATGACTTATAATATTATGTAACATACACATGGCTTGTACATGAGAGAAAATAAATATATCTTAAGATTCATAGGTCATTCGCTTTCTACAACCTTTAGTGATAGGCATTTATAATTTATATATTTGTATGTCGTTAAATTTAGTTTTTTTTTTAAGAATATTAATAGGTATTATATCGTATATGGTTGTTCTTTTGATTCAGTGCTACATCCAACGGGATAATTATTTTACGATTGTTCAGTTTCTCTGTGTACTTGGAAAAATCTGTCAATATCTGTTCRATAGTATAAGGATTATTAGTTTATTACTCCAAAGGTTTCGTATACCATTAGTGGATCTTTTGTCATTAAAAAATCATAATAATATTTAATTCTGCAGGTGTGTCTGATTTATACTAAATTCATTATTCGTATTTAACTTTTTTTTTAATTATYAGGTAMTTTTTAATATACATCATTGTGATATTGATTTCTCACCTCGACATGTCGAACTGCAGTTTGTCTGTGTGCACCATACAAAATATTATATTYTACTGCTTTACCTAAGTGATACATTAAATATTATACTTATCGTAATTATTTGTTTTGTAATCATTTAAAATTATGTACAAATTTAACGACAGTGATTTTTGAGATATTGAACGTTTACTATTAAAAKAATCACCACGTACATGTATAGTAAGGGGGCCRCATCTCGCCGTATATTCAGTGTTAAGAGTTCGACTATATATGTCACGACAATGAGCAACTGTTGAATTAGTGGTGTTTTTCTTTCGGTTAAATGTCATTGACCATTTTGAGTGCAGTAAAGTGCTTTATAACCGTATATTTAGTCAGTTTAATGAGCGCAGTTTTTTATGTTTGATATTTAGTTATTTATCATTTATAAACTTGTTATTGTACCTACTATTTAAATGTGGACTTTATTTTAAGGAGTTGTTCCAATTGCAAAAATAAAATATATGTTACAGTGGTAATTGGGGAGCTTTAACCTACACTCACCACACTTAATACTCTATTTAAACTATAAAAAAAACTTTATACAAACATTGTGCGACCTGATATTTCAAATGTGCACCCTTAAAAATAAAAGCRTGCACCTAATTTGTCATGGGATAATGACCTATAAAATATAAGCTATAGTTTGCGTTCACCACTTCATACACCACTCTTTTGAAAAACCAAATTAACGAACACAATTATGATTGTACACTCCGAAAAGTTTGAAAAAAATAGCCACTGTAGTCWGTAATGCAACATCCACGTACAGTCATTAGTACACGAGCCGTCACAATTTAATAATAATAATAATTTAACATATAAAAGTACTTACTTATTAATATTAATAATTAATTTTTCATTTATGACAACGTCAAGCCCGAGAATAA